ACACACACACACACACACACACACACACACACACACACACACCAAAAGAAACAAAAAAAAAACAGAGCCACTCACTTCACTAAGCACAGCTGTTGCGCCTGCTCTCTCTTTCTCTGACGTGCACACATTCTGTCCGCGTCCGCCTCTCCTTGCAGCCAAGAACTCTTAACACACAACTCCGGCCCTCTCTCCGGTACCTCTCTGTCCTCTCGCGCTTCTCCCCTCCCCTCCCCTGATTGTGTTCGCATGTGTATGTGTGCGTCTTTCTTTGTCTGCGCGGAAAACAAACAAACACTTTGTACACACCTATCGTTCGCTCATTGTGTTCTTCATCATAATTAATCTTCAAGTCTTTATCAATTTACCCTACGCCAGCCGATGTTCCGAGTAATAATTATATCGGATCCGATACTCTCCTGTCCTCACAGTGTGGAATCTTCTTCGTTGACAGTTTCCATCAGATTCCGTCCACATGCCATGTGGTACTTCAAGACATGCAGTTCAAGATATGTACTTCAGCCAGCTATCTGCCGTGACTCGGTCGAACGGTTCGCCAACAGCCCGTACTTTCAGTGACACCAAATAAATACACCAACCAATGTCGAGCCTCTGCACACTTCATTGCTCACCGCGGCCATTCGTTATATAACTGACGGGCAGTGAACAAAGAGTAAATAGAGGAACGAGAGGGGGAGAGAGAAACAGGCAGAGGGGGGAGAGAGAGAGAGAGAGAGAGAGAGGGAGGGAGGGAGGGAGAGCTTCGACAACTCAACTGACTCGGTGTCCGGATCTCCTCCCCTCCTTCCCTCAGAACTGGACGAAAGCCATCAGGTATCCAGCAGGAAAAGCGTTCAGGAAACGACGACTTCCTTTCGTGAGGAGGTTACGCGCCATCTTCCTGCCAGACCACGCCCGCGGATTGATTACGCTTCACACGTCGTAAGGTCACTGCCACGCATGCCAATGTCACGAACGCCAGGTAAAACGCGATAATTTTTCCTTGTGAAGCCACGAGCAACGTCATGCCCTGTCCGGACCCGGGAATTCCCAATACCACCACCTCACTCCATCGCATGCCACGCCGCGCACAACGCCGCCCGTCCCATCCCGCTCGCCACGCACGTATACATGCCATGCTCCCCAGACGCCATGCCACTTGAAGCTCACAGAAAGGTCTGGGCTTTCCTATTACGCCACGTTGTCATCTTAGTGAGCAGGTGCAGATATAAAAGTCACCAGAGGAATCGTCGTGTGATGAAGCCTCGGTCGAGTATTTCTCCTCTGCTATTACCGATGAACTCGTAGCCAAGATGAGTGGCATTGACCATGAGGCGCACGTACCCGTGCTGCTCTGTGTTCAAGTACTCTATCCATTCCGGTGTGACAGGTCGCACATTGTCACACGTCCCGGCGCCTGCCATGCCGACCACCAGGTGGACGGGTGCGTTGAAACTGCCGTCGGAATTGGGCGGCACACATTTGTTCCGGTACACCGCACACGTTCGCTCGTACGTGTGGTGATGTCCCCACATGGCGAGATCCACGCGATAGGTCATGAGAAGCTCTTCGAGCCACCGCTTCATCTGCTCAGCAACGGGATTGTCTCCTTGAACGGGACGGTCGTCCGTAGAGTCGACGTACATCGGACGGTGACCGCTGAAGATGACCCAGGGCGTTCGACGGCGATTCACCGAAGCGAGGTCCTGTTCGAGAAAAGAGAACTGCGCTGAACCGGCCTTGAAATCGTGCTCCGTGCTCATTACGACGAAGTGGATGGGCCCATAGTCCACGGAATACCAAGGCGTATCCGCCCCAGCGTTCTTTAAGGCGTTATTGGCGCTTTCTACTTCTGCTTCTCCCTCCAACAACACGTCCGTTGTCTCCTTCATACCGAACAAAGTCAAAAAAGAAGAAAAAGAAGAAGACGAAGAGGAAGACAGAAGCTTACGGGAACGAAGAACCGGAGAGGAGGGATGAACGATGAGAGGGGAGAGAGGGGGAGGGAGCGAAGGAAGAGGCATGGGCAGACGACGGCCGTAGGAAATGCCACACTCGCCGCCGGAGTCCTCGACCTGGAACAGCGATCCCGAGCCCGGCCAATCCCGCTCGTGATTCCCCACACTCACCATATAGGGCACTCTGCTAGCCACGGGCTCGATTTCGTCGAAAAACACGTCCCACTGACACGTGTATCCCCGAGCGTAGGAGATGTCTCCAGCATGAAGCACGAGCAGTCCGTACTGTCTTCTGGAGTCGTCATCCATGTACGCGTCTCTGATGATTCGGCGCGCAGTAAGTAGCGAGGGTTCCATCGACTCCGCCATGTCGTTCGAGCCGTCGACCTCCGCCTGCCCCAAATCGCCGAAAGCCAGCATCCTCACAGTGGATTGAGGACCGACGTTGGGAGGAACGTAGAAACTTTTGGGGTTGCTGTGCGCGTACCCGTCGTCGCCGACGGAGTAGAAGATGTTCGTCCCCACCGTCAGCCCATTCATCACCGCAGTGTGGAAATACCCCGGCGCCACCCACCCGATAGACCTAGCAGGTCCGCCACACATCTCCGTCCTCGTGTACGTCGTCGTGTTCGCCGGACTCGACGACGTGTAGTCGCCCGCCGTCATCCCCCATCTCACGTACGGAGCCCTTCCTCTCCCCCGGGTCGTCCACGTCACTCGCATCTCTCCCTGCTTCCCCGTCAACGCCAAATGAATCTGCGTTGGCTCGTCGTAATTCGAGAATGCCACCGTGTTCGACCTCGATATCACAACCGGCTTGGTTCCCCAGTTGCGCACTAGTACAAAGCGATAATCGTCCCTCATATTGAGCAGCCGAAACTGGACGGAGCCGCTGCCATACTTCACATGATCGGGATGGTTGCATGCCATCTTGTATTTAACAGGGGCCACTTTCGAAGGGTCGGCGTCAGCGGGCACGTACACTGCAATCCAGTCGTACACCGAAGGCTCCTTAACTCCCTTCCATGAGACCGTAACCCACTCTCCGCTCCGGAGAAGCATCGAGGGAGAAACGGATATCTCCACGCCGTGCTCCAGCCGCGTCGTGATATTGCGGACCGGTATAACCTCCAATCTATTGATCACGAAGGGGTCATCGTGTAAAGCTTTCGTCCCCAGAAGAGCATAATGACGACTGCTGAAGTTCATCATCGCCCTCCCGGGAGCTCCCAGTCGTGCTGAGGACGATAACGAGGCCAAAGAGGTGGAACCGAGCACATCTTTTTTAAGTGGTTCCTGTTGCTGCCCGGTTTGGTCGTTCCCACCACCTTCACCATCTTGGCTCAGGCAGACGACCGCAGAGGCGTACACGATGACAAGCAGCGCGAGAAGCAGCGAGCCTTTGTTCGAATCCATCCCTGCCTCCTGACTGCCGCTGTTGCTGCTTTTGAGAAACACAACAGCTCCGGCGGCAATGCAACTGCGAGGAATTACTCTCCTCCTCCCCCCCCTTCGGTCCTGGTTACCTCGCCAAAGGGACGCTCGCCCCCTTCGTTCCTCCACTAAGTGCCACTAGAATCCAGCTTCCCCACCCTCCGCCTTTTGATTGCCCGCGCTGCCAACGCGGCGACCGCCCGCGTCTTGTTCGTCCACACAGTGGCAGGCTCGTCGTCTCCGCGGCCTCCGGACTCGGCAGTGCCACCCCTCATTTCGGGAGCCGACCGTCCGGGCCGGCAAGAGGAGAAGAACTCATGCTAAGCAAAGTACAGAGAGAGAGAGAGAGGGAAAGAGATGAGAGGGATGACCACACCCAGCAACAGGACAAGTAATAAAGAAGACACGGAAGAAGAAGAAGAACGACGGGGAAGAAGAAGACGACGGATGACCGGCTTCGACAAAAACTATCGGACTAAAAATGAATTGGAATATCGCTTCCCTACGCTCACACTATGACCACATCTACTGCAACACAATCCGGACAACTCCTACCATCTACCTATCGCCACCGTCCGAACTCCGTAGTACAACCCTACCGTCGTCCACCGCAACTTCACAGCGATTGTTACAATGAACGTCGAATGAAAGAGTAGCCCACGCTCTGTCTGCACAATTTCCCCCGCGCGCCCGTACAGCACCTCTTTGTCCAGCGAAAGCCGTTTTCGTATCCGTTGGTTTTTCTCTGCAAACGTAGCATGCTCCTCTGCATGATCTACACAACAGTCTAGGCCTACACGCATATAATAATATGAGGAGAGAGAGAGACAAAAGAGAAAACTAACACCACCCTATCCTATCGGTGAGGTGACTACTACCAGCAGGCGCAAAAGCAGATGAGGATACGCAGCTGAGAGGTCGGTCTATAGATTGCGGGCAAAAGACGCACACACGCAACTGCCACACAGAGAGAGAGAGAGAGAGAGAGAGAGAGAGAGAGAGAGAGAGAGAGAGACGACGGTGAAGAAGGGAAAGAGGAGGAAAACC